TAAGTCAGGGCATGGCTAACTCACAAATTGAACCCTGAAACAACCTCTGGGCTGATCTAAGTCAGGGCATGGCTAACTCACAGATTGAACCCTGTAACAACCTTTGGGCTGATCTAAGTCAGGCCACGGCTAACTCACAGATTGAACCCTGTAACAACCTCTGGGCTGATCTAAGTCAGGGCATGGCTAACTCACAGATTGAACCCTGAAACATCCTCTGGGCTGATCTAAGTCAGGGCACGGCTAACTCACAGAATGAATTGGAATTTAGCTGGGTAGGTTTTGCAGAGGGATGAATACCAGTGAACCCGTAGAAAACCCTTCGAAATCAAGGGAGAGACCCAACAATCTCTACCCACATGTGTTGACGAGACTCTACCCAATACCACCCTTGATTACTTCCGCTAGCGTGATTTGAACCAACATGATGGCCGCTTTTATCATGTTATTCTCGTTTGTTTTTCATATATAGATGATTGCAAACAAGCATTCGTCAACAAAACAGCCAAGGATCAAACCTTTTCTTAGTTTGAGAAATGGGATGATGCATTCTGGTCTAGCTTGGGTACCAACGACACCATATATGGCATGACGAGCATAAGATATTTGCACCGAAACTAGACCACGATGCATGCAACCTGTTCTCTACCATATCCTACCTTGCCCATTAGATTCCTCATCGAGTTGTTATCAAACTGTGCATTTACCAGCATGTGAGGCTTAGAACTATTCACGTATTGTTTATCCACAAAACTAGGACTAAATCTAACAGGCCAGTAGTATTCATAGCTACTCTCTTTAGGCAAAGCAACGTCAAGTTGATTCAAGTCTCCATATCGATAAATGATGTTCGCTAGAGTGCTGCTTCCAGTTCGATGCGTCTTCAACTGGGTGATGCTCTTTGTGGGCTGGTTATAACTACATACTGGTCTAGGAAAATGTAATTTGAGAATACACCTCTTTAGGTTTATAGCTTGCATGTGACGTCAAAGGAGCTCAATTTTGAGGACAAAACAAGAGAATTTCAATCTCCTGAGAAATGGAAAAGATAATGGAGTCTGTTTTATGAGTAGAAAGTCGTTTTCGGTGACGATCTCACTAGAGCTTACTACAAGCTAGATTTTTTCTCACATGTTTTAAAAGCTCACCGTTTCGGTACTGTGTGCCGCTTCAAGTTATCCTCTACATCTGCTAAAGCGAAATTATAGTCAATAGTCTCGTCTCTTTCGGCTTCGTTTTCCTCGCGCTTGACGTCATAGTTATTCATATTTGTGTCGGCCATGTTGGAGGACCAGGTACTGGGAATTGTGGCAGAACTTTGCACGCTTTCCGTCTCGACATCTTTGAGATTTTTATCTTCAATGAAGTCTACAACGTCGTCTGAGTTGAGGGCAACTCTGTATCCATTTTTATCTAGATAAATCACTTGGGACGAGCTGTGAAAACGGGAAAAAAATTCTAAGAATTTTTATCAATTTTTTGATTACAAAGAATGTATCGCTGATTCAAAAGAGCCCCGTGCAAAATATCACGGTGTTTGCCCTCAGTGTTGAAGTTTATAAAGTGAAATTTGCCAAGAAGTAGATCAGTATTTTACTACCAACTTCGGGTCACTACGGTGTTATTAAATCACACTACATCTGACCAAAATAGCGGGGTAATGCTTGACCTCAAGACAAATCCCCTTTTCAATAAGTTTAAATTTACAAGCATTAAAACTATCTTCAGTCCCTGAAATTGCAACATGGTTAGATATCGAAGCAAATGAAACCCTTACCTTAAAGATGAAACTCCGAAAGGTTTTGATTCCGAGTTCAGTGCTGACGAAGATAGAAAGTTGTCGTTTACTGACAACGTGCTACGATATCTTGACAAAGCMATAATAAAAATAACAATGGAAAATAAAAGACAAACTAAAGCGATAAATTGACGAGAAAATGACTGACGACTGATAATTCTTGCCATGTTGTCGCCGTCAGAGTATTATTGATTTTATTTCTCACGGCTGCGAGAAATGTCAACATGGTCGAGGGAAGATTCGAGTGTAGGTTATGGTAGTATCTTGAATGTTCGTTCAGTCGGTAAAAGTTTTTTCACAATGAATCGGCCAACCTGCTTCCTTCACGTGTTTATTTTGCAGGTGCCTTCGAGTGGTTCCTTTGTACGATTCTTCGCTTGTGGTTGCAGGAAATCTTAAGAACGTTAAGGATCATGCACACGGCTTTTTAGCTTTTTAAAAGCATTACATGCTTTTTTTAACGATAAATTATCGTTATTAAGTCCCATGGTAAACACTGATACCTGAGAAAATAAAGGCAGAAGAGAAGAGATTGAAATTCAAGACAAAAGAAAGGAAAGAAGATAAAGGGAATGCAATTAAGAAAAATTTAAGCAAAGATACTTCTAAATCCTGCATATTTTCAAAAGTACTTTATGCAGGAGAAAAAGAATTGTCTCGCTTCAAATTCCAAATTACCGCTGTGTTCCTTGATTACAGACTCATTTACTCAGTGTCTAAATATTCACAAATACCAACGGTAAAGTAAAGAATGCACAACTTCAGCAATAGAATCACATTGAAACTCGACGGACATTGACTGGAACACGTTTAAAATATTCTGCACAAAATCTTGGCTAAGCATGAGCAAATGAGTCTGTAATCAAGAAATACAGCGGTAATTTGGAATTCGAAACTGGTCAGTTGACAAATGATATTTAGATCTGCAGCCAATATATACTTTGACTTACAAAGTGGGTAAAAGCCTACAAGTGCCAGTTGATTGGGCTAGTTAACCTGCAGCTCATGTAATTTAAGAGAGAGACGTATTGATGGTTTTCAACCATTCCCAAGAGAATTAAATAACAAAAGACACGGCGGCCATGTTGGAGGATATAACAAAAGAATTAATTGACAATTCTTTTGTTAAATTCCTCCAACATGGCCGGCGTGAAAACCATCAATTAATTAACGGTACAATGAAATAATCTACTATCATTGAATATTTCATTTATTTGACACTAAATATTTGATATTTCATACTGCATAAACGGGAGGGACAAGAATTCAACAAATTCAACAATTTATAGGGATTCTTCCGGCCCATCCCCTCTCCTAAAAATGAATCCTCCCTTATGAGTGCTGAAGCGCTATAGCGCAGCGCAACAGTGACGTCATAAAAACGAAGACAAAGGCGAAATTCGGACAAACAAACTTACAAGTTTACTTTCAGCAGATAATTTTCACAGCCGATCGCAGTTGATCTTAGATTACATGGGTTATCATTGTAACTTTAAGTAAAAATAATAAAATCGGTTCGTATAATCCTCGTAGCGGTTAAACAGAATGCAATGTTTGTCCGAATCTTTAAGCTATTTTTAGAATCAGTGCGCTGCGCTATTAAAAAAGCTTAAGCGTAATGTCTGATCGTCCGGAAGAAAAACGACTTCCGGGTCCAAAAGTAATTACTAATAAAAAGAATTTTCTTTCTTTGTCTCCATGACAGGATTTTTTAACCAAATTTCTAATTGTTTCAGGGAGAGGATAATTCCTTGAGAACATTTAGCGCTTTATTTCAGTGGTTTTTGTGGGCAGTTGAACCCGGAAATACGTCACAGCTTAACACATCTATATAACGTCTTAGAAAAAGAATTGTATATTCAGGGTTTCGATGTCGTGTAGTTTAGGCTGGTTCATCTTACTTAAACTGAAAAAATAAATAAATGAATAAAATAAAATAAGTAAAATTAGGTTTAAATGCTTTAAAAAATAATGAAATAAGCGAAGGGATGATCCCTTCGAGCGCAGGTCGCTGGAACGGGGTTTTTTTTCTTAGACAATTTGACGCATGCGCGTACGATTGGTGAATTTCTTACCACAGTAATCCCATTTGCTCTCATAATTCGTTGTCAGTGAGCACCAGTATAGCCCAGATGACTCCCTGTAGGTCGTGCAGGAATCAAAGATTCTGTCATGGTAATTAAACGGGAATACACAACAATGGCCCTTCCTTGTAGAACGCGTTGAGCAATGTACCGCTTTTTAAAGAGAAATCAAAAGTTAAACTGGAAACGTTTTATTGATATATTATTCAAAACAACGGCTAGCTCACGATGTGGCAGCTCTGCTCTGAGACGATCCGAGTTTCTCAACAATAATAAATTGAAAATATCCCGATAAATGTGACAGATCTTTTATATCTCAAGCCCATGAATTATGAATTTAAAAAAAAAAAAAACTAAAAAAATGCTTGCGAATAGGCCTTTTCCGAGTTTGACAAACAGATTGTATTATGGTCTAGCCTCGGTACAAATAATAATATACAAGGCATTAYGTTTATACCGAAACCAGACAACAATGCACAATGTTCCCTATCTCAGAAAAGGTCTATGCTATGTGTTATCATAAAGCATGCGCCTGGACCAATTAGACTGCGAGAGTTTGATCAAAAGGGATGGGTAATTCATGCCCCAAAAGACGAGTCAATATATGGATTCTACTTAAACAAATTGCAACAATTTTTTTCCACTGCCAAACTGTTAGGTACTGTCCATTTACTAACAAACTAAAAATCCCCCAAAATCCCAGTGGAGGAACATGTCCCAATTAAGCGTTAAAGTTTAGAYCCAATTACACAGGGATCCCGATTCAAGGATATGGACGTTCGTCACGAAAGAAAACGCTTGGCCGATGCCACGCTTGTATTCGATTCAATTAATTCTAATCATTCCCACAAGATTCCTTAATGGAGTACACAATTGTACTTTTTTGATGTTACAGGATATTTCCTCCTCTTTGTTACTCCCTGGAGAATGAACGATACGTGACGGTAGACCCTTTTAGCATGCCGTAATATTTTCCCATTTCAGACCACGCGCCATTCCCTAGAGTATCATTTTTTGTTTAATGATTATAAGGAATCTTATTTTCAAGGGAATGACACGTGGTCTGAAATGGGTAAAGGTGAAAAGGTCTATCGTAATCAGTTATGTTCAAACCTGGATTATCATTCGGCATGTAATAGCCCGTTGAAGCTTGTTGGAAATCATTTTGGCTTGCCTGTTCTTTAGTTTTGTTATTCAATTCGCACAAACCCGACAGATAATAGTTTATGCTTTGACAATGGGCCTCACGATCAGTCGTACATTGCTGAAGGCAATCAACAACGTCAGCTGTCTTCATGGACTTAGTCACGTGATTTTTGAGCACGTGGCTCGACACGGACGTCTTCTTGATGCATTGAGATAAGACACGTGACACATTGGCGAGGAGACAAGCGAAGAGTAGAAGTAAGAACTGGTGGGTACACTTCATCTGCAATGAAACGCAATAAATATTGAACAATATGAAGATTAATGAGTACCACTACCACTACCACTACCACTACC